GCAGCTGTCACCTGCCGCCCGAATCTATCCTACTCCGCAAGCCAACTCGCTACCTACCTCAAGAAACCCGAAGCAGAGCACCTGGCGGAGCTCGACGATCGGCCTGACTTACTACAAAAACGAAACTACGACCACGAAACTAATCGGCTACGTCGATGCCGATCATGCCGGCGATTCCGACAATAGGCGCTCTCGCACTGGCTACGTCTATCGTCTCGAGCCTATCGGACCTATCTCCTGGCAGTCGAGCAAGCAGGAACTAATCGCTCTCTCTTCAGCTGAAGCAGAATATATCGCCCTCTGCTCAGCCACCAAGGAAGGACTCTACCTTCGCGAGCTGCTGGAAGAAGCAAAGTTAGCCGAGTTACCCAACTTCACCCTATTCTGCGACAACCAATCTGCAATTCGCGTCGCCAACAAAAGCGGATTCGCGAACAGAACGAAGCATATCGCTCTGCGATACTTCTTCGTGAAAGACGAGATCGAGAAAGGGAAACACGAATTATCCTACTGTCCCACGTCCGAGATGGCAGCCGATTACTTGACCAAGAAACTCGGAAAACAGAAGTTCGAGTACTGCATGCTGCTGACTGGACAAGGCCACGTCACCATTAGCGACACTCCAGAAGCGAAGGGGAGTGTTGGAACAATAAGTCTTAAAGCGCCTATGTCGTGTCGAAACTCAGGACACAAGCGAAGCAGTCCAAATCGAAGCATCGCGAGTCAACCCTCGGAGGTTAGGGTAACCGCCTGGAGGTTACGCAAAGGTCAAAAGTCACAACCTTTGACTTGACAAATACAGCGCGACAGCAAGGACACACAACTGACTCGACATTGAGCAGTTGCCCGAGTCGCACTGTATCGAATCGCAACAGCTAAACAGTTTAATTATATCTATTAGTATTCCTTGTACTCTTATATAAAGCCTTGTATTTGCTTGTTTTAATCAACTCACTTTGCCCTCACTTACTAGCGCAAGGTGGTTCAATGACCTTTCATTCAAACGCTTCCGCTATTACAATCCTACTCAGACTTTGACTCTACAAAGATCCTAGGGCATCTCAGCCCAACATCAACGACCCCATCAACCTCTCTTGCTACATGATGCATTTTAACATTCATTTTGAAGTATTCACTCCACCTCATACCTTGTTCATTTGTACAATTGTGTTCGTTCATGTCGATGCCAGAGTTTTATGCTCGGCCGTACGATCCGCCGTATTTATCGACGAGGTTGTGACGGTCGAGCAAGTTCATGGTTTCAACATGATACGTACGTGCTTACGTGTTTTGGGGATCTCATTCAAGAGTGTTTTTTATCCACTGTTTGAGGCATCCGTTTGAACACAGTTTCAAAACATTCAAAAGAGTGTTCCAAAAAGTGCGCAAATAACACGCTTCGAATGATATCCCCAAAATGTGAAACCAAATATAAAGGGTTGCTATGCAACCCAAAAAGCTAAAAGTGGGTAATGCGGTGCAAGGGTGGTTGACAGGATTAATAAACATCAAAAATCGTCTCGTAACGCATTTAAAGCTCGCGGCCCAAATTGTTCAACCTTAGTAAGGTTGACCTTTGGGTGGTGGGAGAAGAAGTTGACTTGTTGGGAGTTGGGCTGTTTCCTTTCGCCCAGCTTCGCGCTAGACCCTTGGGGTTTTCGTTGACACGGCAAACCCCTGGGAGCAACCTGGGTTTGCTTCGAGAGTCCCAAATTGCAATCAACATATTGTTGTTCCCTGCTCTCCCATTCGACAAAAAAAAATACTGGCCAATCAGATTGCATCTCACTTCTCGTTACCACCCTTCGCAACCCAAACAGCACTCAAAACATCACCCCCGTCAACCTTAGTAAGCTTGGCCAGCGCGCCACGCAATTTGGGCCGCGAGCTTTAAGTCCACTTTTGTGCTTGATGTTGGCTGGGTTGGGGACAACGTCAATTGTGCGCCGCTAAAACATCCAGCTTGTCGCGGGAATCTTCGTATTTCTGTCCTCCGTGTCTGGTTGTGATTGACATTCCTCAGGTACCGCCCGTAACTGCGGAATCTTGCTGACGTGGATAGCCAGTTGTACTGAAATGAGGAAACTCGCAAAGATCGTCCAATGAGGATTGAGTTGCTTTTATGTTGGTTGAGAGAGAGGGTGGGCGGGGGGCACCAGGACAGGGTGGCTGTGTGAGCTAGCCAAGGATATATGGTTATTGTGATCAGGAAGACTCCATAGAGTGGAGTTAATCCGCGACACACCAGTCTAGGGATCCCCTTTCCGAGCATTGTGAAAGATATCAAGTTGATTTTTAAACCTGACTGAACTCACAGGGCGTGGTTTAGGTCTTCACCTGAGTTAAGTGGCAAGAGCGAGAATATAAGGCTCCGCTTGAGCTGTTGAGACAAAAGAAAGTGACATGACATGATGGGTAAGATGCTCAACGAAACTCTTAAAACCGAAATCCAGCATTGATTTGCCCAGATCTGACGCTGCGTCACATTCGCTTGTACTTCCGCCCTGCTGCTTGAGCTAACCAGCCGCTAGTCGAAGGCCTGTCTCTGGACCTGGCAGGCTCAGCTCGACGTGCTTGATGAATACGCCCTTGCTCCTCAAGATTGTAGCACCTAGATCCTCAACCACCACGACAGTTCGTCTCTCACAAAGCGACTTAGCTCATCTCATACCATTTAGCTTCGGTCCGCTCACCCACCGTGACCTTACCAGCAGACTCTACGTTACTCTACTTTTCACAGGTTGACATAGTTTCACAAACGTTACAATGAGTGCCTCTGGGAGTAGCGTGAAGCAGTTTGAGAAAGAGTCCATGTTGGAAATTCTCCGACATGTGCCAGCTCCTGTTGTGATCATCACAGCTGCCTATGGCGAGCAAGACAATGATGACCTCAAAGTCAGGGGAATGACATGCAGCAGTTTCACAAGGTATAGTCAAACACGCGATTCCGCAAACCTTGCACACGATGTCCATCTTGCACGGGATATTAAAACTGCCTTTTGCATTGCCTTTCATTGTCTTTTGCAGCGTCTCGCTGGATCCACCGTTTGTGTCAGTCTGTTTGCGCAAGAACTCCCTGATGATGAAGGTGCGGATCTTTTCTTTTTCCATCTGTTGCTTTTTTTGCTCAAGTATTCTTCGCACGTTCCTGAGTGTATGTTACTGCCGGATCTCTTTCTTCAGGTCCTGGAAAAATCGAGCGGATTCGGGGTTCATCTTCTCAATGAGGAGAACAAGCAGAAGGCTACGGATTTTGCGATGCCGGTACTGCGTTTGGCGTCGTTTTTGTAGCGCTCACAGGACGCAGCCATGTGTCGATTTCATGAATTATGAAGTCTCTTTTAGTTTTTTCAGCTTCCTCATTGCCGGCGTACTGCCCGTGGATTATAACACGCTCTCTTATTGCGTTCGTCCGTTCCCTCCTACATTGTGCAGCACGATACTGGCAAGGTTCCATTCAGCAAGTAAGTGTCTGAAAACTACGAAATAGCCAAAGCTCTTGCTTCCAGAACGAACCAAAAGGCTGCATGTTGTATCAGACGGGATCGCACATGTTTGATAAACTATCTGCATCCTTTTGCAGGACGGCTGGTCCTTGGTCACTGGTACCTCTGGATAAGTACATGCCGGAAGTCCCGCCCAATGCGCCGGAAGGCGAGGAGGATGAGGATAAGGTGAAGGCTGTCCCGGTCATGGAGGAGAGTATGGCTGCTCTGGTTTGCTATCGCAAGGCAGCGTTCGACGCTGGGGATCACATCTTACTGCTGGGCCAGGTAAGAATCCGCCACCCAAGTGCGCCTGGTTAATGAGCAAACACTGTAGCTTGTTGCGGCTAGGTGGTTATCGTCGTTCCTCGATCATGCGCCCATGATTCCATTCTCTTCACTCTCATCCCCTTCGTCTGACCCCACTTAATTTCCTCTTTCCAGATTCCGTCCACCCTCCCCCATCGCCCTCCTTCCCTCTCTCTCCCCTTACCCCTCTCCCACACCACCCCCCCCCCCCCCCCCCCCGCTCGCTATTGTTCTCCCCCTTTATCTTTTCCTCCCCTCCACTCTCGTTCTCTCTCACTCCTCTCTCTGAGGGTCTCTAAATTTCTCTCTCAGTAGTCCATGTTTGAGTCAAAAGGCGTCATTTTTTCTCTTGCAGTGCTGCCTTGTCGATTCATGTATGGTCTTCTATCCCTTCCTCATGCTTTTGTGTCCATACTGGTAGTCGTGTCCGGGCATGGTTAGTCTAACTATTCGTAGCTTCAAAATGCCTTCCTTCATTAACACAGAAATTGATGCACTGTTGTGTTCCTGACTCCTGTCATGCGTTTGCTGGTTCTTATTCTTATTTTCTTTCGTTGAGCAGGTAGTTGCAACAAGTCACCATGATTTCCACCCTCTCATCTATATGAACCGCCACTACCACCAGCTGGGCCATGAGGTATAAGGCTGTTGCAACTATTTTAATATATTTTACGGTAGGATTGCTTATGGACTTCCTGGACCAAGTGGATTACGGTCAATGAAAAGTGTACAACCAATTATTTGGAGAGTTGAATCCATTGGGGTATACACGAAGCATATTCTTCACATGCCATGGTAGTTCAGCTTTTTATGTGGCAATCTATACCATACTGAACATTAGCATGATAGCATCACATAACAATATTGACAAGCACCAGACATTTGCTGCTGAGCATGAGGAGATGCAACTTAGAGATCAGTTTCACAATGGGTAAGCTTCTATGTGGTTTATGGGAGCTGGGTTCATCTAATTCCTTTAGAGACTGGTTGATTTTTAGTATCGAAACTTGATCTAGTAAAACTGTAACAACTGATCAAAATGTGTAGGTTATTACTCTACATTCCTTTCAGGAAGCCCAGGCCATGGAAGCTGGCCAGGGCTGCAACTGCCCCCCTCAGAGGGCTGATGGAGTAGGGTGGGCATAACGATGGGGAAGTATCACAAGAACACCATAGAGTGTTGAAGCAGCGGTGGAAGAGTGATAATCAGGGAATGGTGACGGAGAATAGCAGCGAATCCTCCTTGAGCTGCAGCCCTGCTGACCCCCTCACCCTGCAGCTTGCCAGCGGCCCACCACTCCCTGTTGCTGCCAGCGCCCTTCGCACTGCTGCCTGCTGCTCCTCTGTCAGGGACCTCCTTGGCCAATCAACAAAGGACACATCAAGATGAGTCAGAGTGCATGGAAGGTGAGTCAGCGCTTGCTCAGCGCGGCCAAAGACGGCATCGAAGTCGCAGTGGGGCACGGAGAGCAGGTTGAGGCAGGCCACGGAGGGTGGCAGCGACTGGAAGAGGTGTGGCAGGTGCGAGGGCGGGGCGGTGGCAGCAGTGGCGGCGGGGCCGTGGTGCAGCAGATACTCCATGGTGCGGCGCATGAGGAACGAGGGGTCGTTGGCTATCGTCACACTCTGACCGGGGCAATTGGGACGGACAGAACAGGCACACCGGGATACCAAGGCAGGGGGAAACATGATGGGGCACAGAGGGGTGCTGATGGGGGGCCAAAGAGAAAATTTTCACGTTACTGGAACGGTAAAAAAACGGGTTTGACATGATGGTAGGTCACAAGGGCGAGGAGCTGGATGAATGAATCAAGATGCTGCCACATGCACACACCAATGGAGCTCCCATGGCACGATAAAGCTTCAAACCATTCTCTGTCTTCCACACTCCACACTCATCCTTCCCCTTCCTTCCCCCCTCCCCCAAAGAATCCCAATCCACACAGAGTGCATGGAGCACAGGCAAGGTGACGGTGTGATACCTGCAGCCTGGGCAGGTGTGTGAGGAGGGCGGCAGCGAAGGGCACACAGGAGGCAGTGGCGTAGGAGAGGTGCACCGTGTGCAGCACTGGCAGCAGCGCCGCTAGATTCTGCCGTGGCCACCCCGTTGCAGGCATGAGAAGGGGAGAGAGCGAGGGGAAGGGGAAACACGGTGGGAGGCGAAAATACAGCAACAGAATGATGAGGATGGTGAAGAACGGGAGAAGAGGAAGGAGAGGGGAAGCAGACACGGCATGAGAGCACAGCAAAAACATAAGGGGAAGCACCCAGCTGCTGCCAGCGCTGCAGCTACACGCCATTATGATTCTTCCCTCACCACCAATCCTTCCTCCACCCCCGACCACACCCACCATCACCCCCCACCCGTGCCCCTTTTGCCCGGCCACCCAGGCCTCATCATCCCCGCGCACCTGCAACCGCCTGACTGCTGCCGCGCGCCACTCGCCCTCATCCGCGTCCGCGCGTGCAGCAGCGCCCTCCCCCTGAGCGTCGCCCCCCAGCGCCACGTGCACACTCGCCTCCTGCAGCGCGTACGGGCGCCGCGACGAGAGCAGCGAGGGGAGACTGGCGCGAGGGGAGGCGCAGGGAAAGGCGTGGCAGGGCGGAGTGTGCGGACGAAAGGAATTATGAAAGTCTGGAGTCACGAATAGGGGAGACGGGAAGGGGAGAGCAGTTGGGAAGGAGGGGGAGTGGGGGGGAAGCGCGGCGGACCTTTCGTCGGTGAGCACGAGGCGGGATGACAGCGAGGAGAGCAGCGGGCAGCTCTGCAGCAGCAGCAGCGGCTGCTGCGCCGCATGCCACGGCGAGCCTGGCCCGCTGCCCCCGATGCTGCGGTGGTACAGCGAGCGCGCGGAGTAGCGGCGCAGGCTGGGGCACAGGCGCGCCACCATTGCCATCTCCTGCACGCAGCACTCACACGGGGAAGAGGGAAAAAGGGGGAAGGGGAAAATGGGAGGGAAATTGGTGCAAGGTAGGAGTGGGGATGGGTGTGTGTGCGAGAGAGGACGTGGAGTGTGCAGGGAGTGGGGGCCGCCCCTCCCGACCACAACTACATCATGCCATGCGCCCCATTCTCAACTCTTCCCCTGCGCGCGCCCCTCCGCCCACGCTCACCATGACGGGGTCCTCCAGCGGCCATATCTTCACGGCCGCGTCGCAGTCCACCACCAGCTCCTCCACGTGCTTCCCGTGACACGTCAGCAACCGCTCCAGCCACGTGGCGTGCACGAGGACGTCCATGGGACGCGGGTGCGACTTGCCGTAGAGCAGGTTCAGCAGCAGGCGGTCGCTGCCGCCCACATGGTGCGCGTGCGCGGGGAATCGCGCGAGCACCGCGGATTCGACCTCCGCACTGCCGCGGGTACGGGACAGAGGCGAGGGGAAGGGGACCACAATAAGAGGGGAGGGAGAAATAGCGGGATGAAGCGGGTTCGAAGGGTTTTGGAAACAGGACGGGCGACGATGAACGAGTAGCGGAGGGCGGCCGCGCGGGGGTGGGGAGGGGGTGGGGGGGGTGGGGGGGGGGGGGTGTGGAAAATGTGGGCATGGAAAAGGGAGGGGGGAAATGTCGGCAGGAACGGGAACAACAGCGGACGAGCACCGCGGGAAACGGAAGCAGCGAAGCGGAGCAGGGAGCGGCGCAAGGGGCGGGGAGGAAGGGGAGCGGGGAATGTGAGGGAGGATGGTGAGGCGGCAGCACCTGTACTTGGCGGCCATTTGGCACCGTCGGATGGCGTCGGGGCACCAGAAGGAGTGCTGCGCGAATGCGCCCAGCGAGAAAACGACGCGTCGCAGCGTCGCACGTCGCAGGCGGTTCAGAAGGATGTCGCAGAGCGCCGGGTCGACCCAGGCGAACTGCGTCATGTCCAACTCGTCGACGCTCTGCGAGGGACGACAGGCCGCGAACGGGGCTGTGAGACAAGTCAACATGGCGGCGTGGCGTGGGCTTGAAAGCACGCGGGGAGGACGCAGATAACGGGGAATGGAATGGGCGTTGACAGCGGTGGCGAGAGCGTACCGCGAAGAGGTCGTCGGAGAGGGCGGCCATGGCCTTGCATGAGCACACAAGCGACGCGATGTCGCGGAACGAAAGGCCACGCACGATGTTGTGGAGCAGCGGCTCCGGGAGGCCGTGCAGCAGCGCGGCTATGGCGCTGCTGCCGGGTGAATCCGCAGAGAACGCACTTCCCCCCATAAAACAGGTGGCAGCTGAGGCGGTACAAGCCCGCGAGACGCCCCTGCGCAATAAAGTGCTGGCGAATCTGACTGATAAAGAACAAGCTGCGCGTATTGACCAACAGTACCCAGGAAAAATCTAAAGCAGAGTTGCGGGGGACGGCCTAGAGTAAATACGAGACGACGCTAGCCGTGAAAGGCGGTACGCAAAGAAAGTGTTTAGATTTTTAGAGAAAGGACAAGTTTAATAAATGCATCGCACAGATGCCACCGTCAGAAGCTGGGGGATGCGTAAGTGTCACTTCAAATGAAAGCAGAGCCCAAACTGAACACTTGTCTTCCCTGCGAGCACCAGACAAAAATGGGCGAATGCGGTTTGGAGACGAGGGAGAAAGGGGCAAGGGAATGGGGAAGGCAGGTGCCGACAGTCATGTCTAACCAGGTGGAGGGCGTATTCATCAAAAACTCGCTTGATATGCATTTCATCTAGGAGTCATTCCAAGCGGTCGTTATTAACACTTCCCTTCAGCGTGGTTTTGGTGTATTTCGTCTTATGATACCGATGAATTGAAAACGAAGAGTCGAAAATGTCTTCGGAATACCTCCTCGCGACTCCATTCTCTTCCTGGAGATGCGATGCGTTCCCAATCTCTGTGTGTGGTGCTTTGTTCTATGCGCTCCGATTGGTCGAACGGGAACGAGCAGGAATTCATTGGTTGAGGAGGGAGCATCCACTAGTGACAACGGACAAATATCTGTGACTCAGACAAGAGCCAGGCCAACAAATCGACTAATCCGCCGTGGACACGCAAGCGATGTCGACACAAGTCCGAATGAAGATAAGACGAGCCCCTGACTCTTCAGACGTGGCTGCAGCCAGACTGGCCAGAGTGGCAACGTCATGAGCCTGTAAACCAATGGTAGCGGTTCATCCCATCACGTGACCAGCGAAACCCACCTTTCTAGAAGAGTTTTGATGTGGACAATACACCGTAATGAGCTTTTTTCCTACCTCCATACAGATTTTGAAACAGACAATACAGCACTGTAACTTAATTAACCTACAACACAACTCAAAGTAATAAGAAACTAGATGCTGAGCGATGTAGATCTGAGAGTGCTAGGGTACGGGCAAAGAGGTTAAATTTGCTGACTTTGCACCATGATTCGATTGTCTCTAGCAGAAAGATTTTACTCCCATGGATATGGCATGCAAACTAAAACGAGATACATATGGGCTTACTTGCAGGTCATATCTTGCAAGCAACTGAAAGTGTCCTTATGCCCAGACCAGCAGATTTGACAGTATATACCGAGCTCATTTCCCTATGTAGTATTTGCATCTTTGCTTGCACCGCCAGAACTAAGCAGAGGCTCCCTTCTTCTTCAGTTGCCCACGCACAGCTCCATCAGCATACTTCTTGGTGTGAATATTCCCATAGAACTTACGAGGAGCCGCGACAATAGACTTCAGGGCAGCCTGTAGCTCTGGGGTGCTTTCCCCGGCGGCCTTCCCCAACGAACCAGCACAGCGCCAGTAGTTGCGTTGCTTGTACTGCTTGTATACACACGGCAGGTTCACCAGAAGGTCGCCGTTCATGCCCTTGGCGCCTGCGTGGATGTGCGTCTTAGTGGGAGGCATTTCGCCTTGCAGGAGGGCCACGCGAGCCACGAAAGTGAGCCACGTGTAGGCGCCTTTGCCGTCACTGTGGTGGGCACGGTCAAGTATAAGCACATACACAGGCATGCCCAGCAATGGGAGTCTCAGGACATGGATGGCTGACGAAAGAAGGCGGAGGATAGGTCAAATGTGAAGCTTACGAGAGAATCCCAAAGCTGACTCTACCATTACCATTCAACAAGCTGGGAAAGAAACACTTAATGGGCACAGCCGAGTGACGAAAACTGGGCGTTCTCACCCGTAGATCGTTAGCTGCATCGTGGCGCGGCCCTGCATGTCGCCCACGGCATCCCTGGCGACCTTGGTGTTGTTCTTGGGGATCTCGTTGCTGCCGAACAGATTCGACGACAGCACCACTGGGGCTGCGCAGAGGGACCACGGGAAGCCAGCGCGCCAACAGGCAGGCGGCGGGGTGAAATCACATGCGGATGGTGGCGTTTTGAGCAGGAACCAACGAAGGGACTCGAGGGTCTAAAAACGCGCATCGGGTTGCACGCGCGTCTTTGGAAAGGTGCAGAGAGTCGCTTACCATACTTGTCCGCGCACGCAGTTGCCACAAGAATCGACAACGCCACTGCATTGCAAGCAGTGGCACAATGGAGAGGCAAGGAAGAGACAGTCAGTACACGCTGCAACGGAAAGAGGTGTGAACATAGACAGCTAAACTGTTGAAGCCTGCACTGGAAATCAGGTTTTTCGTGTGCCGAGCCTGACGAAAGAACACTAGACTGACGAAAGGAGAGAAATACGAGGAGACTTAGCGGCGGGAATTACCAGCTACGAGGAGAAGGTGCGAGGAGCGAACAGCCATGGTGGTCAGTCGTCGTAGGCAGCAAGGGAATATGATGGAAAATGAGAGTCCCCGTGTGGAATATATACACACGGGTGAAGCACTTGTGCAAGGCGCGCGTCATGAGGGAATTGATGCTGACGTTTGGCGTGTGGGGAATGGAGTGACGGTTCGGGCCTAATGTGAACAGTGTGCACGACGGATGCGGCTCGATGAAAGTGCTTCGACTGATGAAGGCTGCTACTGCCAGCAACTGAACGGGAGCTGGACTGGAGCTTGTGGAACTGCGGGGCGTGTATATCAAGAAGAGCAGGAGGGGTGTTGTTCAGTGCCCACCGTGCAGTTCGGTGGGAGGTGACGCACACTCGACCAGCCCAGTGAGTGGGCGACTCTGCGACGATATGCACGACGGGACCGCATGAGAGCTCCGTCAATCACAATTTTGAAATCGTTCTGCGAATCCGCATCAGGGCGACTCCACACCACATCCGCATTGCTCGTTGAGCCTCCCGGGCTGCCCCCAACGGACATCCGTCCGGCCAATGTCATACACCAACAGAAAACTATTCTTGCTTGACCTGTAACCGTTAGTTGTTTGGTGCAAGGAATTTTCCGGATTCCTTACTGGGTCACACTGTACGCATACAACCCCGACTTTCGGAAAACCAGGCTCGGCCCGCCGACCTCGCCTTCCGAGCCACCACCGCGTTGTTTTCGGGTTCTCCAACCCCGAACCTGCACCCAACCATCTCGCGACCCCGCGACCTCGGCCTAGCTAGCCTTGCTCTATTGTGCCTAGGCCTCGTTGTTCATTCAGACGTTGTAATCACTTCCGCATTATTGAGTTCTGCGCACTCTTTCCTTACACAACTTATAACACTTGGTATCAGAGCCTAAAGTCCTAGGTTACCCTTGCGTTTCCGGGGTAGTTTGTAGAAGGGGAGCGATAGACTTGGTGGGCTACGTGGAATAGATATGATTATTCCACTCCGACTACGATAGCATTAACGCCTTCACCGAAGTCAGAAAAATCGCGAGCCACCCCCTGCCCGTTCGACGAAGCATGAGGCACATGGAGCAGGCCGAATTCAACGAGTTCATGCAACAGTTCCGTGCGATGCAGGCCAACTTGCACGGTATGACTGCAGAGATGGAGCGTCTGTCAGAATCCCAGTCACTAGACCATTGGGATAGAAGGGCTTGTTTCAGTAGCGGGTCAGAGTGCGCCCATAACCCCCCAGGCAAACGCGCATGTAACCCACCGTAGGATCAATCGGGCATCCACAGTGCAGATCTACTGACACCCCCCCACACTGGGAGGCCCAGGACTGAGCACAGCGGCAACGGCCTACATGTGCATACACCGGGATTCGAACCCGAGACCACTCTGACACCATGTCAGAATCCCAGTCACTAGACCATTGGGATAGAAGGGCTTGTTTCAGTAGCGGGTCAGAGTGCACCCATAACCCCCCAGGCAAACGCGCCTGTAACCCCCCGTAGGATCAATCGGGCATCCACAGTGCAGATCTACTGACAGCGTCTACGGAAGGAAAACGCCGAACTACACCAGGCGCGTGGTGAAGCGCGCCAGGAGTCGCCTGTCGTGGACGACGCAAGTAGCAGCACTACACCAGATGAGCGGGTCTGGAGCGAGCTGGAAGGCGAGATGGATGCGGACGAAGCGAGGCAGGCGCAGCAGGAACAACCGCCACAACAGTCGCGTGCAGTACCACCACGTGCAGCAGCGACGACGACGCTAGCAGCAATGCCAACGGCCCCGATGGCAGCAACGGCTTTTGTGAAAATCAAGCCGACAAACCCGCCCCCGTTTAACCCGAGTGACAAGTTTGTCACTGTTTCTGCATGGTTGTTCGGTGTGGAGGTGTTCTTTAATGCTGCTATGATTTATGACGACGCCACCCGCATTAATTTCGCAGTTTCACTGTTGCGAGGACCTGCGCTGGAGTGGTTGAGGCGAACGCTGCAACACGAAGGGACTTCGGCAGGAATAGCACGTGCGAACGACGGGACTTCAACACCTGTCACGCATCAGGCAGCATCGATTTTCGGGACGGCCACGATACGCACATGGAAAGAATGGGGCGCCGCCTTGCGAACCAGTTTTGAGCACGTATCCGCCTCGGACTCTGCTCGCATGCAGCTGCGTACCTGGAAGCAGCTGACTTCAGTCCAAGACTACACCAGCAAATTCTGTAACTTGGCGGACCAGGTGGACGACATGAGCGACGCGGAGCGGTTGGATCGCTACGTGGCGGGCCTGAAATACGAGATACATTACGAGGTCCGACGAACCCGGCCACGCAGCTTCAACGACGCCGTCCGGGAAGCCGAGTCAACGGATGCGCTGATGCAGTGGGCGAGATCGAGCTCCCGGGAGGGCCCTCGATTTCGTGGACCGACTCAGCAGCCCACGATCAACGGCGTGGATGCACCTAGACGAGCCCTTGGGCCGTGCTTTTTATGCAACCAGCTGGGCCACCTGAAAAAAGACAGCCCGAGGCTTAAGCAGGGGAAGAAGAACGACGGAGAAGGGTCGGGAAAAGATACGAGTCAGTAGCAGACGGGCCACTTACTGACGAGACCCTGTCGCCCGACAATCACCATCCACACCGGGTCGTGGTACCGATCAGCGCTATCGACCAGAACCGGAGGAATAACGTGGGTGAACACGTGGACTACCCTGTGCTGGTGGTAGGGAGGGTTAACGGTTATAAAATTAAAATCTTCGTTGACGGTGGGGCGAGCCACAGTCTCGTCAACCTAGCAACGGCAAAAAAAATGGGGGTGAAGCTGACCAGGTGTCTGCCAGAGATCGATGCAAGGTTGGTGGACGGGACACCGCTGGCCATCCGAGATGAGGCGCGAAAAATTCGGATACAGTGCGGCGACAAATTCGGGTTTGGCATGAGGATGTTGGCGACGACGTTGGACGGCTGCGATGTGCTGCTGGGGAGGGATTGGCTGCAGCGCTTCAATCCGACGATCGACTGGACGACTGGGGCGTGCGTCGTGCGAGGATACGGAGGGAAGACGACGCTTCCGAAATGGACGGAGCCGGAGCCGGTGACAACACGTGTCAACGCGGTCAACATGCAGCGTGCGATGAACACCGGAGCTCAGGCCTTCTTAGTGCACCTGTACGAAGTGGCAGCTTCCGAGAAAATCGCGGACATCGACACCCTCTGTGCGGCAGTCCCCGAGGAATTGGCGAGCATTATTCGGAAGTATCCCGAAATTTTCGCGAATGACCCCCCGGATGGTTTGCCCCCCCAACGACCTGAGGATCATCGGATCCAGCTGGAGCCCGGCGCGCAACCTACTGTGCGGACACAGTGGCGGCTCAGTCAACCAGAACTCGCCGAGTTGCGGGCCCAGCTGGATTACCTGCTCGCCAAGGGATTTATCCGGCCCAGCACGTCGCCGTATGCTGTCAGAATCCCAACCACTAGACCATTGGGATAAAAGGGCTTGTTTCAGTAGCGGGTCAGTGCGCCCATAACCCCCCAGGCGAACGCGCCAGTAACCCTCTCCAGGATCAATCGGGCATCCACAGTGCAGATCTACTGACATATGTCTCAGAATCCCAACCACTAGACCATTGGGATAAAAGGGCTTATTAAGTAGCGGGTCAGAGTGCGCCCATAACCCCCCAGGCAAACGCGCCTGTAACCCCCCGTATGATCAATCGGGCATCCACAGTGCAGATCTACTGACACCCCCCCACACTGGGAGGCCCAGGACTAAGCACAGCGGCATCGGCCTACATGTGCATACACCGGGATTCGAACCCGAGACCACTTTGACACCATGTCAGAATCCCAGTCACTAGACCATTGGGATAGAAGGGCTTATTTCAGTAGCGGGTCAGTGCGCCCATAACCCCCCAGGCAAATGTGCCTGTAACCCTTCCCTAGGATCGATCGGGGATCACCAGTGGACCTCTGACACCCCCCCGCACTGGGATGCCCGAAGTTCATACACCGGGATTCGAACCCGAGACCTTCGCTCTGGATACCATCTCAGAATCCCAACCACTAGACCATTGGGATAAAAGGGCTTGTTTCAGTAGCGGGTCAGAGTGCGCCCATAACCCCCCAGGCAAACGCGCCTGTAACCCCCCGTATGATCAATCGGGCATCCACAGTGCAGATCTACTGACAATATGCAGCACCGATACTGTTCACGCCGAAGAAGGACGGTGGCCTACGCATGTGCATTGATTATCGGGCGCTGAATCGGGTCACGATAAAGTCGCGTTACCCGATCTCGCGAACCGACGATCTGCTGGATCAACTTCGCGGAGCTCGGTATTTTTCGAAAATCGACCTGCGAGGAGGCTACCACCAAATTCGCGTATTCCCCGACGACTGCCCGAAGACCGCTTTTCGCACACGCTACGGCAGTTACGAGTTCACAGTGATGCCGTTCGGCCTAACAAACGCGCCCTCGACGTTCCAGCTCACCATGAATGGAATTTTTCGGGACATGCTGGACGAGAAGGTCATCGTGTACCTGGACGATATCCTGGTGTACAGCGCGACAAAAGAGGACCATCTGCGGGATTTAGAGGAGGTGTTTCGGCGTTTACAGGGGCATCGGCTAATTACAAAGGGGTCTAAGTGTGAGTTCCTGAATCCGGAATTAGAGTTTTTGGGGCATGTGGTTTCTGGCGAAGGGATTAAAATCGACCCGCGTAAGGTGGACGCCATCGTTAAGTGGAAGCCGCCTACTAATATCCCTGAGTTGCAAAGTTTTTTGGGGTTTGTTAACTACGTTCGTCGTTTTGTACCCAATATGGCAGGGATAACCAAGCCGCTGATCGACCTGCTGCACCACGACAGTGATTTCAGGTGGGGGGAGAGGGAGGAATCCGCCTTCGACGCCCTCAAAAACATTTTGGGTTCACCCCCAGTACTTTGCCTCGCCGATCCATCTCGACCGTTCGAAGTCGTCACGGACGCCAGCGATTTCGCCGTCGGCGCCATCCTGCTACAGGACTTCGGCCAAGGGCTGCAACCCATTGCCTACGAGTCACGCAAGATGCAGCCACCTGAGCGCAACTACCCAGTCCATGACAAAGAAATGCTGGCCATCGTCCATGCATTTCGCGTCTGGCGCTGTTACCTCACAGGAGCCGACATGAGGATTCGGACCGACCATAAATCGCTACAGTACATGCGCACGCAACCGACACTCAGCCCGCGACAAATCCGGTGGTTGGACTTCCTCGAATCCAATTTCCGGTACACCATCACGTACAAAAAGGGCGCCAACAATATCGCCGACGCCCTTACCCGACCATCTATGCAAAACGCGCCGGTACTAATCGCCCACACCAACCCGATGCTAACAGGACTATTCACCCACTGTTACAAGATCGACAGGTTTTTTCGGAACCCACAACAACAGGCTGCTACACCGCACGGCAAATACTACCTAAAAACCGGTACGAACCGGATTTGGGTACCAGCATACCAGCCTTTACGGGAGCTGCTGACGCAGGAGGTTCACGACTCCAACCTCTC